AACGCAAAAAACATCTTGTATACACCGCTAAGGTCCATAGATTTGACATGTAGAATTTTTTTTTTCAATAAATAATTATGGGGGCAACAACCATGAGGGTAAACCGTTTCTTTCTGTACCCACACACTCAAGCCAATTAATGAACCTTTTGTACCTTATTGATAAGATAATGATAAATAGTGATTGTACCCCTTAATAATAAAGTTTGTGGTGAAAGGGTAAAATGAGCTAAAGTTAATGTAAGTGGGCAGAAGCACGGGATGAGAAAAGATGGAAAAAGAAAGGGTTGAAGAAAATACCATTCAAAATTAGTTATCGAGAGCTGAGGTCCAAGTAATTGACCTCAGTCTCCTCCTAAGAAGCCCCCCATCCAACCAACGTCAAAGGGATTGGGGGGACCTTCAGAATTAACAACCCTTCCTCCACTCCATCTCTTCTTGACATGTCTTTGGTGTCTGCCTCTCCTACTTCATTACTATTCATCCTTCTTACTGTCGTCGTCCTGCAAGCACTACCTTACTCAACATACCACCTTCTCTTCTTTCTCCTTGCCCTTGGTCTGTTCTTCTGTCTGCTTCCACCTCTGCAACCTTTTGAGTGCTCTTTTTAGGCTCCAGCCAGGGGGATCAGCTCTTTGTGATTCTACCTTCCACCCTTACTTTGACAATAGGCATCTCTTCTAATGTCCCAAAAACAAGTTCACACATTGTATCTAGGTTGCAATCTGAGTCCTAAGGCTCATGCACTATCTACTCTGAACAGACCTCACTGGCAAACAGTGAGGTCTGGAATCGTTTCCATCTCTCCAACTGTCTACAACAAGTCCTGGTCAGACTATGAAAACTCTGCTCTGCTGGCCTTGCCTCATTGACGATGAGCAGTGGCAGTACGTGCTACACTATTCCTTCCAGAGGCACCGATAATTCTTACATCAATATGCCAGATTAGCTTCTGTAGACATGACCACGCCCATGAATTAAATATGTGACTGAGCAGGGGGGCTGCAGAAAGAAAATTTTCTTGTTTTTGGAGCAATTGTTTATTAAAGGGAGTGTTTGTCAGAGTAAGGGACTGTTGTGGGGGATCAATGAAATGATCCCATTTGGTTAGGCTTAAACAAGTACTCAAAAGATTTGTAGGGGAGGTAGTAGGACAGGGATTGTGGAAGAGGGAGTCGTTGTTGAGTAAAGTAGTACTGCAGAGAGATGAGTAGTAAGGGCTGCATATTAGTAGTGGTTAATGGTTAATGGTTAAAAGCAAGATAAATGTGTAGCCATCTAAGGTCATGTAGCCACTATAGTTAATTGTTAGTGAAAGGTGGTTGAGTTAGTGATTAGTTGTCTAAGCTGGGCAAAGGATTAGTGGTGCAAGGGTTAAGGTCGGTGTTATATTAGATAAAGGGTATTCATAAGACAGGTTTCTTGAAGGCCTACAATAGATGGTTATAAGAGGAAAGATATGATGTCAGGTCTGCGGGACGGAAACCGCGATATTCCAATGACGGATAGTTATACTTTCGTTGATTTAGTGAGTAGATTGTAGTACGTGTTGGAGATTTGAAAGGGAAGCACTAGAGGGTGGATAGGGACTGATAGGTTTGAGATGGGAGAGGTGGTGGGAGTTGGTGTTCTACAGGAGGGGTATTAGGAGAATGGAGGGTCTGAGAAGGGATACTTGTGACATAAGGGATTCACGTAGTGTACCAGGAGGTCGTGGAAGGGATAAGGGGGGGATTGGTGGAGAGGTTAATGTGGGCAGGGTTGGGTCAAGGGGGGATGGGCTGTGTTGGGAGGGGGGTAGGAGGGTAGGGTGTAGGGGGGATATCGTAGGAGGAGGATGGATATCAGCATTACTTGAGTGTGGTGAAGGATCAGGAGTTGTAGGTTGAGTGTCGTTTTTCATTAAGTAATCTTGAATAGTTTCAATAGTTTCTTCAGCTGTGGAGTTGGTTGGGGGAGTTTTTTGGGGATAAAGGTTTTCTATGAGGGGGGGAAGAGAGGCCCAAGCTGGTGCTCAAGAGTACGGGGGGCAAAGGATGTGGGGGTGATTGTGTGGTAGGGGAAGAGGGGGGAACGTTGTTCTGGTCTGTTACGGGGGTGCAGGAGGGAGAGGGGAAGGTGTTGGGGTTTGTAAGTGGTGCTTGTGAGTATTGTAGTAGAGCTTGAGTTCTCTGGATTTAGGATGGCGAAAAGGAGTTTGACTGGGAAGTATTAATGGTTAGGGGGGGGGTTAGATGTATAGGGGTGGGTTTAGAGTAAGTGTTAGGATGACAGTATTACTGGAGTACGGAGTAGAGAGAATCCACGTCGACGTGCTTCCCTGTCCTGTCTACGCAGTGTGAGTCCCGAGTTGAATCTGAGAGTTGCTCCCTCAGATTCAAATTTGTAGGTGGGACATCCCATACCCCTATAAATACGTTATGATGGGGCCGCCACAGTTGGCATCTGTGCGTGATTGTGCAGGAAGCAGTTAGATCGGGTATGGCAGTTGGGCACATAATGGGCATCTGGCTGTGAACGGCAGTGTTTGGCTGGGTGTCAGACGCAACAATTTTTGGCACTGACGTGGAGGAGTTGGTATGGACGAATCGGAGGGGATTCTCCGTCCTATATGTAGACGTTTAAAGTGAAGGTCATGTCCTACGGAAGGTAATTTTGGCTATGTTAGTGGGTCTTTCTTTCGATGACCTCTGGGGGGGATGGAATAAAAAGCATTGTACTGATGTTGCATCGTATTCTGTGAGACAGCAAGTAGATCGTCTCCACAATCGACCATTCTTTGTCATAGATTGGGCAATTTGTTAGTGAGATTGAGACTGTTCCGGTGCAACCAAGTATTGAAGGGTTGGATGGGGTTCTGCGCTAGGATGGTGTTACCAATAGGTCAGTTAGTTTTGTTAATGCTATGCTTGGTTTTCCGGATGTGACTGTAACAAGACGGGGAGCGTCGGGTCGGCTCGGAAAGAACTTTACCTATTGTTTTTGGAGCATTGTTGGAAAGAAGGGGTTGTTAGAGTAGGGAGCTGTGTGAGGGATCACGAAAAATCTGTCCCCATTTGGCTGCACTGAGAGAGTATTCGAAGATTGTTTAGAGTAGTGTGGTAGAAGGGCGAGTGCGGGACGAAGATGGAGTAGTGTTGATGAGGTAGTGTTATGGATAGGTGTGCTATAAGGCTGTAAAGGTTTAATAAAGTAAGGATAAGGGTGGTTGATGTTGGAGGTTGTGGGGTAGAGTGTTGAAGTTGGGCATGCTGGGAGAGTGGAAATGTCCTTGAGTTGATTGTTGGCTACTGTCTAGTAGGCATTGGTGAAGGTGTATGTTATTGCATTGTTTTTGGAGCCGTGGTCAAGGAAAAGCGCTGTGTCGGGGAATCGGTTGGGTTTCTTCGTTGGGCTATTGATAAAGGGGCAAGCCTTCATTGCCCCTAACAGTGGGGATATATTTTCATTCTGCTATGGGAAGCCTGGATTTATGTTTTGGGGGATAAAAGCAGTCCCACCCCTCAGGGTCCCCTTGAGGGCATGGCTAGATAACTAAATCAGGGGAATCCGTGCCCATGGCTCCCTCAGGGCCCGTTCAGGACTTGTAGAAGAAAAAAAAAAAAAACACAAAGTCAGCATTTCATCCTTCCAGCACGGCTCTTCACATCACCTTAGGAGGAGGTGGATAGTAAAGGGTTTTGGTGAAGGGGGACAGAAACAAAAGTGGGAAGGGAAAAAAAAGACCATCTAATTAGTTGAGTCAGGGCTGAGTCCCAAGGTTGGGGAGTTCCTCCCCATCATTGGGTCCCAGTCTCCGCCCTCCTAGCCCCCCCACGACAACAACGGGCAAGGGATTGGGGGGGTGCATATTAGTAATAAGGGAGGAGGGGATATTTTATTTTTATTTATTGAATATATTCTGCCATGTCAACATCTAAGGTCATGAACAATGTGTACAAATTATAGCAATAGGGTAGGGCTTGGGGGCAAAACCCCCAGGTTGTGGATTTCCAAAATGGACAATGGTCAAAACAAACAAATGTACCAGGCATCAAAAGCTACACTGCATTTTGGTAAAGTATTGTGGCCAAAAAGGATAAATTTGGGTTAACGATTTGGATAAGTGGACAGAAGGAGATGAAGATTTGACTATTTAAAATTATCTGCCAAGTCAACAGCTAAGGTCATTAGCAGCGAAGGGGATGAAGAAGAGAAGGAAAAGGAAAAGAGAAGAATAAAAGACCTTACAAAATTATATGAAGCAAGGGCTAAGATCCATGGCAGGGGTGATCCCTACATTGGGCCTTAGTCTCTATCTCCTATGCCCCCAACGACAACAACGAGCAAGGGATTGAAGGGAGAGGAGGGGGCAGTAGAGGTTGAGTAATGACCTGGGTGGATGATTTGGACTGGACTGAGGAGATAGTATGCACTGAGGAGGAGGCAGTAGTTGTAGTCAAAGGAAAGCCTGAAGTCGGGGAACCAGGGGAATTAATATCAATGGGGCTAGTTGATAAAGTGGCAAGCCTCATTACCCCTAATAAGTGGTACAAAATCTTCATTACTGTCCATGGTAAGCCTGGAGTAGGGTGTGGAGAGAAATGGTCCAAAGTCAGCCTTTCATCCTTTCAACACAACTCACACACCTTAGGAAGTGGATAGTAGAAGGGGTTGGAGCAGAGAAGAACTTGAGAAGACTGAAAAATCAGTCGAGTTGAGAACTGAGAACTTAAGCCCCCGTTCCCCCCCACAGCAACAACAGGTAAGGGATTGGAGGGTACATTATAGATAGATAACATTTAACATAGATAGTAAACAAAACACTGATCTGTATATAGGAGAGTTTTAAATGTGTATTGAATAATGAATGAACTGAATCAATGAAGAGTGAATTGTACTAATAATAAAATTTCAAAATAAGCCATGAGCATTAAAAATACTTTTTGGCAAGAGTACATTCCAGAAGCCATTAGTGAATATATATATATTTTATATACAATGGGAAATAAAAGAATAAACTGGTACCCACTTGTACATTTTATTAGTTAAATCAAAATCATTACTGATATGCATATAAAATGGAAGAGTACAGTTAATCAACATTTGCAGTAGACAATTATAATTATAATAAAGCAAAGTAAAAAGGCTAGATTTTCCCATACTGTGTGATAATTATGCCACTGTCTAATACATTTCCAAATTCACCAGCTGTTGGTAAAGAAACTAGAGGAATAATAATAAATTATGGGACTAAACTACATACAGCATCAAGTAGAGTAATGAAAGATCTCATTCAAAATTTGTGTAAAAATCGCTTTTCTTCTTATAAAAGTAGCAACATGTATCCCTACCATGATTTTTTTCTTCTTCTTCTTCTAGGGATAATGAATGAGACCAACTAATTCCAGAAGTGGCAACCGTGACAATGTGGGAAATATTTCTAAAGGAAGAAACAGACTTGCCTTACCAGTACGCTGATCTTGTTCCTCTATATTATTTATTATCCTTTTTTTTTACCCTGGATTATATTAACTTCAATGCAAACTTTGGCTACATCATTCCTGTTGATCTTGTTAGCATCTCTTTACAAAGGTTATAAATATCTTTCTTCTCATGCATTCCTTATCCATACGCATTTTTTTCAAACAATTCTTTGGCTATTTAGAGGAGGAATCAGACTGGTTCTAAATAACTTGTGCTCTTGAGTAACATTGTGTCTTACATTCATATGAGTAAAAAAGCTTCAAACTTTCCATTTTAATGTTGTTGTTGTTTTTGGATAAATAACTGATACAGTCTAGAGCTAACTGTTGACTTGGTGGGGGGAAATGGAATCACAAATTAGATGAACTATTAACAAATTCATGATCCTTTCTAATATTTTAACTGAAGGAATCTCATTTCATTGACTGTGTTTTTCTATCTCATTGCACACTATGGCAATTACTAAATCAAGCCATAACATCTAAATAATTTGGTGCCAATACTTTAAATATGTTGTTTGTAGTTAAATTATGTTAATGTAACACTGGCTTCATATTGATTGTATAAAAAGCTGATACTAGTCATTATTCTTGTGCTTGCATTATTAAACCTTAATTTCACTGTGGACTCGCCAATTTCTAAAACCTTTTACCTCTATGGCATGAGGGAAAATTCTTTAATCAAAACTACATAAATCAAACTATAATCCACTACAAAATTTGGACATTTCTTGAATCCACTTTTCACAAAATCCTTTAAAAAATCACTTCCTGGGATGACTATTCACATCAAGCACCAATAAATATCCTAAAAATGTGTTTTCTTAGTGTATGTATACAATTTTGTTTTAAATCAAGTGTAAATTAATTGTGCCAGGTTCCAAAATTATCTCCTCTCTCTTCTCACTTTCTACTTCCCCTACGTGAGCATTGTTTGACTGATTCTAACCAGCCTTTTCGGTACATGTAGTGACCAGGGAATGGCCCTTGATCACTGTCTTGAACTGCTCAGGAACAGGACACTCTACAAACTCTCCATCCTCTTTGGGGATGAGGATGTTCATTTCTGAGGACTTGGCTGAAATGATCTCTGTGTTGAGAGACTCTTTGCTCAGGTATACATGGCAACCGTCGGTCTTCTCAATCGTGATGGTTGGCATAACACCCATCACCTACAAGAAAGAAAAGATTATGATGGAGTGAGAAGAATATATGTATATAATAAATATATTACATTTACTTCAAATTTAACATTATATTCTTATCTGAACAGTATCCTGTAGACTGATAGTTATTAACTGCCCTACAAATGAGTTTTAGTTTATCCAACTATATAATTACTAACTTAAATACAAAGTTAGCTGAGGTACTATTGGGAATACATGACAAATGAATTAACCAATATTCTTACCTGGACCTTGCATGACTGACAATTGACAACCTCTGCAGAAGACACCAGGTTATCAAATACTACAGCAGACTTCTTACAGGAGTCCAATATGACTGAATTAACTTTACCCTGTGGGGAGTCACATAATTATAAATATGATTCCCAGATACCTAAGAACATAAATATTAATGATGTATGTTATCTTCTATTACCATAAAAACTCATATAACAAGCATGACAGTCATTGAACAAATATCTGTCAGGTAAAATGAAATTATGCAAGCAAGTTAAAATAAATAAATAAATAAAATAAATAGCAAAAGAAAGCCTACCTTAACTTGAACCACTGTGTTCTGGCACTTGAAGATGTACACAGACTGGTCCATCTTAGCACTATCGACCACAAGACTTGGTTTGTCTTTCTGGTATTCCACGAACCACTTCTTCCCTTCCAGAGCAAACTTGGGAGGGCGTTCCGGGGACTCGCGAGAGGGTGCACGGACAGGGGTGGTCTCAGTCTGCTTGACAAATGGTTTTGGTCCCTCACGCAGACTGGGGTTTTTGTGGGTTTTCTGGTCGTCTCTAACCTGGAAAATGAGTTGGAAATTTGCATTGCTAACTTTTCTTTACATTTGTTTCTTTCTTTCTCTTTTTCGTTTTTTAGGGTTTGCATTTTTTTTTCTTTTTTTTTTGCTTTATTCTTTGTAGCTTGACTGATTTTCTATTGACCTTTACCTTCCCTTGAAAGCAAAAATAATGGTTAGTGAAAGCATTTTTTTTTTTTTTTTTTTTACTTGCATTGTCATTATACCCTGTAATTATATAAAAAAAAAAAAAAAAAAAAAAAAAAAAAAAAAAAAAAAAAAAAATCAAGTTAAGAGATTCTAATGCTGAATGCTTATTTTTACATTTAAGATATTCCTGATTGTTAATTTCATCTATTAAAAAAGCTATACTTCAGATTGATTAAATATCCATAATGATACTGGAAAAATAGAGGTTTTCATTTATACTGAAATATGAAATTAATCCAAGCAGGGATGAACCTGCCCCATAGAAATACCAATATTAAACAGGGATTAGTCAATGACACATTAGGTGAGGCATATTTATGCTGCTTTGGTTAGTATGAACATGAAATGAGTTAAAATTGAGCTAAGGGAAAAAAGAAACTGTTGCTAGAAGCCTTTTCAGATTAGTAAGATAAGTATAACCCTTCCACTTAACTTGTAGTCCCATTAGTCCATTCAAAAGACCAGATATATGAATAAAGTTCCAATTTCATACCACCACTTTTTCCAACGACATACAATACCTTTCAACTGCACTTATATACGTTTACATACAATAAAGTTGTAATTGTAAAGTTGTTGTAATCTAAGTTCCTTCAAACTTCCAATTATTCATTAGACACCTACATGCAGGACTTGGATACCCATCTACATATACAGTACAGGATATTTTAAAGTGCATATATACATATATATATATATATATATATATATATATATATATATATATATATATATATATATATAATATATATATTATATATATATATATATAAAAGCCTCCACATACACATACAAATACCTGCAAATAAAACAGGAGACAAATGTCATCTACATATCCATTCACCTAAAAGTTTGGAAGGGAAAAAAGGCCTATGTGTGTGCATGAATAAAAGTCTTTCCAGCATTTTACAGCAAGAGGTAATGCAGCTTATGTAACCTGTATACCAGAGAATACCCCCATAAAAGAAAAGATATGTCAATTTACTGTCTGTGGCGTCCACACCCCTGGTGGAAGACGAGGTGCGTTGCGGTCCACCTAAATAAGAAATAAAATAAAACCTGATAACTTTTTCTGGTTATCCTTTAACACAAAAAAATATTGTTCCACAGATGAACAGGAAAACCAACTTGTTTTATGAGGTTGGTGCAAAGGTGTATCTGTGAGACATCTATGGAAGGAAAATAAAACTCCCGTCCAACTCTTGGACTGCTGCTACATTTCAAACTCGAATACAGATTTACTAACCAGGTACATACACTCTCTCACTCACTCAGCTCATCTCCTTTGGCTTTCCCTTTCTGATACTCCCAACTCCCTAAAGACTCAAATGTCTATTTGATGATAGAAACAAGGTCAAAATGCTTGTGAATCCTTCAATGCAAGACCACTGGACCAAAAAGAGGAATCTTCGACTGAAAACTGCTTGGTTTAACAAGACTACCTCACTGTGCCCTGACTTAGCGGATCTATCACACTGCAAGTAGTTCTTTGTTATGATTTGTATCAAAATAGCATTTTAATTTCTTTGGCGGAGTAATGCATGCTTTTTTATTTTCATATAACCAAACTAAAGCATAGCAATTCTATAAACTAATTTGTAAAAGCATAAACATCACTCATTCCAAGTAATTCCATATATAATTGGTAAGAAAAAGCTTATCTTCTCTCTGCACATATACCTTAGGATAAAGGTTTGGTTTGGAAATTATGGATGTATATTGCCAAAACTATAAAAAGAAAAAAAAACGGCAATACTCCTGCAACAATAATCTAACCCCATAAATCTGGGTAACTTTACTATCATGTCATTAAAAAAATCTGGCTGATGGCCAGTGTAACAGGAATGACTCATGAGTGCACAAAACTCTTGGAAGATTAAACTCAGTTGGCACTTAGAAAGGGGCTGGAAAACAAGGGTGGAATGTGCCATCCTTGAGCCATGGCTGGAAGAGTGCCAACTCCAGGGAATACATTATTTCCATGGTCAGGATCCTACTCCTGCCTGCTGTGACCAATGGTGCATGGACTGAATAATATAAAAATATAAAAAAATGGCAATAACACAATGTTACTTATTCTTATTGCACAGACTTGCTAACTACCTAGAGAGAATATGTAGTCTGCTCAAGGAAAACAATCTATTTACTATCTTCACATACATACTGATGAATATAGACCTTGGAAAATGGCCAAAATGCAGAAAAACATTTGTGCAGGAAGAGCTTATAAAATTGCAAAGGAGCAGCAAGGTGTATTGACACTGCAAACCACACATCTGGAAGAGTCACCACTCAAGTAAGCTTAATGCCTGGATTTTGGTGAACATGCAAGACACCCGGATAAAACAAGTTAATAGCTCAGTGCTCTAAACTTCAAATGATCCTCAAAAGTCTTTGACATCACACATTCACGTTGAATCTCTTACACGCTGTTCAAATATTTTGCATTTCTTCTGTGATATAGTTTTAAAAAAATAATCAAATAAAAAAAAACAAGATGCAAAACAACAAGAACACATTCTACACAGTAATAAGCATCACACTATCATTACCAATGTTAAACACAAGATAAAAAAAAAAAACAATGATTAAATATCAAACAAAAATAACAAGTATAAAACAAAATCAAAGAAAGACCAAGCAAAACAGTACACCAGCCCAACACCTTACCTTCTTGAGCCCGGATGTGATATCTGTTCCCTTGTTGATAGAGGCGAAGAGTGCAGCTCGGCCGTCATCCTCCACAGCCACGGCTTTTGGCACCAGTGGGACCATTGGGGGAGGGGGAGGGATGCCAGCTACCGACAATACAGCGAAAGTTAGCTACACTTTTTCAACCGCTAGGAGAATAAATCAACACAAGTTACACTGACGATGCCAGTGATGCGACGGGGAGAACGAGAAATAAATCAGCTTGTTTTCTTTTTCTTTACAAGCCTGACAAGGAGGATGCTTGAATGTGCTTACAGTGAAATAAACCATTAAAAGTGATTCTGTTTTGCAAATCAGTTAATCAACTTTGCTTGCGGATTGTGAAGTACGTATCTTGCATCTGGAATAATTAAGCAATCATAAAATATCTAAAACACAGATAAGCAGTCTTTGACCACTAACTTGCAGAATTTTTTTTTCGTATATTCTCTTAATACATTAAACATATATAATATTCAGTAAATTAGCAATAAAATTTGTTTTGAAACATCTTCATGTTCAGATTTCATAATCATAACTAATGCTGTATAGTTTCACTGGGTAATTTTTGATACCAGGTTTTGCCACCTTTTATCCTAAAAAATAACTATATAATCTATGGCCAAAATCCTACAAACAAATGACACAAAGCTAGCAAAACACTAAAGATGTGAGCATACAACTAAATGACCATAAAAATGCCCCTACAATAACTCTAAACCTACTACTTATACATCTATGTGGCTTATTGTGATAATCCTACATATTACAAGCTAATG